CTAGTCCTTAAAAATAAAAAGAAGCCCTCCGCTGCTGGTTTGGATGGTATTTCTTATAATATGATAAATCATTTATCAGAATCTGCGAAAGCTTCCTTTTTCAATGCAATAAACCAGTTATGGAAAACATGTAAAATAAGAGAAGACTGGAGAAAAATCAAAATTGTACCAATACCAAAGAAAGGAAAAAATCTGGATGTTTTTACTAACTATAGACCAATAGCTCTCATCTCAGTTCCTCTAAAAATAATTAATCTGATAATTAAAGAACGTTTGCAAAAATTCATTCATGATAATAATATACTGCCCCACACAACTTACGCATATAGAAAACACATGTCCTCGTCTATGTGTATCAACAACATTCTGCACACAATTAATCATCACAAAAATATGGGTGAAAAAGTAATTATTCTTTCTTTGGATGTTGAAAAAGCCTATGATTGCGTCAAAATAGAAATACTCCACAAAATTCTGCAGGAGATCGAATGCTCACCCGATGTTACAGATTGGATAATCAACTTTCTAAGTCGTCGAATACTCGTAATGGGAGATGATTCACTCGAAATTTACAATGGACTACCCCAAGGCAGTTGTCTAAGTCCTCTTCTTTTCAACATATACACTTTGGGCTTACACGGAATTTCCAACATCAACACTTATCTTTTTCAATTTGCGGATGACTTTATTTTATTATCTGCTCACAAAGACTTTGATTCGGCAAATGTAAATCTACAACAAAAAGCCATCGAGTTTCACAACTTACTCTCACGACTTAATCTAAAATACAATGCTGAGAAAACAGCCGTCATGTACGTAGCCAAAGGCCCAAAAAAAGTTCCATACATCAGACTACAAGGCACACAAATCACTCCAGTTAATAGCATAAAATTTCTGGGAAGGCACATTAAAAACAGTTTATCCCTGAAAGAGCATTATGACGAAGTAATTTCCTCCTGTACAACGTCAATTAACGCACTAAAAATGATCAACAACAACAAACACGGCCTGCTCCCCAATATTTCAATTAATCTAGCAAAATCACTAGTTTTTTCTAAAACTGAATATTGCATTTCATCAATGGCCCATATGCCTGCATATCTAAATAAGAAACTCACCACCTTTCAGAATCAATTATTAAGAAGGAATCTTGGCCTAACACCATCTACTCCTACACACACAATTTATGCCTTAGCACTTATGTTGCCACCCGAGCAACGAAGTCAATACTTAACTGCAAAAGAATTAATAAAATTTAAATGTCACAATCCACAACTGTACAACAGTATAACCAGAAACTCCACAAACAAAACGAGCTTGGGACTAATTTACACCAAATTTAAACATATTTTTGATGAAATTGTGGTCAACAAAGCCGAACATCCCAGGAAAAATATCACCTATTTTATGAATTTATTCAATTCTTCCAAAAACGCACAACCCAATGAATACTTTAGAGCAATTTTGCAAGAAAAACTTCAAAATCTAATAAGCACAGGTCATTCCATTTGGGCAACAGACGCTTCTGTTTCTATAAATGAGACCGGATGTGCAGTGTGCAATATCACCAAGGACCAAAATTTTCTGTTTAAAATATCAAGAAAAATGTCATCCCTGATGGGTGAATTACATGCAATAAACAAAGCGATTGATATAATGATTGAAGACAACATCAATAAGGCAACCATACTAACTGACAGCAAGAATGCGTGTCAAATTCTCAAAAACAATACGGTACAAAACTACCTAGCCAATGATATCATCAAAAAGGTCAACAATAGTAAAATATCTCTACTCACTTTTATTTGGACTCCTTCACACATTGGTATCCCTGCTAATGAAAGGGCAGACTTCTTTGCAAAATACGCAGCTCAAGTCGGGGCATCCATAACCACTAAGCTGGCAATAAAGGATGGCTATTCATTAGTTTATCAACACCTATGGAGAGAATGGAATGAAAATTACAAAAATATCATCACAAGAAAAGGCACATACTTCTCCCAATTTTTTCCTGAACCGCCAACTCGTCACTGGTTTTATGGCACTAACCTCACTCCTGGTAACATAAAACTCATTAATCGTCTTTTCACAGGACACACCTATGGCAAAACTTACCTGTTTTTAATAAAGGCTGAAAATTCCAACATATGCGAAATCTGCAATATACCAAACACCGACAATCACCAAATCTTTGTATGTCCTAAATACAACAGTGAGCGGTTAAATTACAATTTTTTCACGATTTTCTCGGACTTACCAGCGATTCTCAAAACCTTCTCCAGCGAACACTTTAATGAATTGTGCCAATTCATTAAGAAAAACAACATACAACTATAATACGCACACACCACTAGAAGAAAATACCAAAAAAAGGAACTAACAATCGATAACCGATAACTTAGCAACTGGTACATGAATACTTCGGGTATCGGGTACCAACTACTTCTTGACGGAGAAATCAACTGTCGAGTCCAAAAAAAAAAAAAAAAAAAAAAAAAAATCTAAAAGCACTTTTACATTTTAAAGTAACCAGCTCACATGTCAAACTTTTCACTACACTTTTATTATTTCATTAAGTAAGTATTTTAATTAATTTTATTTATATTAATTATTTATTATTTTTATTGTGTTGTATTTATTTTTATTTTTTATGAAACTTCTAAAATAAAATTATGAATATGTATAGAATAAAAATTAGTAATATAAAATAAAAATAAAATATATGAAAACAATAACAATTTTGTTAATTTAAGAAAATGACAAGCTATACAAGTAAGAAAAAATAAGATGTATGAAAAACTAAACATGTTTAGATGCCAGAAAGTAAAACAAAATTAAAAAAAATATATAACATGTAAAAAGAAAAAAATATTAAAAATAAAAATTACTGTAAATTTTGAACAAATTATATATAACAAAAATAAATAAATAATGCCAAATAAAAAATGAATAAATTATAAATAATGAAAATAAAAGTTTAACGAAAACAAAAAAAACACAATGTTGCATTTTTATTTTCAAATTGTTGGCAGTTTTTTAGAGGACTTCAAAAAAGTACCTATTTTTTTTTTTAAATTATATATAAAACCGAATTTCCTATGGGGTTTGAATAAATAATAAATCACATATTTCGTTGTTTTTTGAATCGCCCTTGGCTCTTTGGGCTAGATTCTTGTATATGAAATAAATTGAATTTAAATTGAAATAATTTAAATTGTCATTTCCGTTTAGATTTACGGAATTTGATTCGATCTTAAATGCCAATTTAATAACGTATACGTCAAATACCTTGTGGATCTTCGGATCCTCGTGGACCGTGGATCGGAGTAATGCCCTTAAATTAATAAACTACAATGGGAAAAAAGAGTAAAAAGAATAAAGTTAGGGTGCAGGGAGTTAATAACGCAGTACCGGCGGCAATCGTTGGTGTGATCACATGCCACTTGGCGTCGAGATCAAGCGATTGTGATCCGGCTGTTCTATGTGTGGATGCTTTGGCACTTTATGTGTCACAAGCGCATCAATTTCAAACCCGAACCGGCAATTATACTGGCAAACGAGCAAGTCAAGACTAATGGAAATCATTCTCTGACTGCCAGGACTGTAGTTCTGGGAGGGGACGAACTACACGGGACCCTTAACGCTATCCGCGATAGTTTAGAGGAGAAGATCAGGGAAATCTTCGACCAGTTAGACAGACTTGTACCGGAAGAGCAATGTGGGGATACGCTTCCGGAGGAACTGCTACTAAATCTCACCCTGACTGATGATGAGCTGGACACCACGGTGATCCCGGCCAAGTCTACACAACGGGATTGTTGTAGCCTAAACTAAGGAAGCGTAGACCTTGTTGACCCACCGACTTCAAGTCTGACTCAAACAGGTCCTGTGTCGGCACTTGCCGACAATAAACTTCAGAGGCAATCTGCGACGGAGTCGATGTCCGTCGATGGGAAATCTATCTAGACCCCAGCAACGGACAGCGACTCAAAGTTTGGAAATACCCGAGAAGTATCTGATGCTGTTTCGTATCTTTGCAAATTCGTGGGCGAGACGCGAATTTGCTTTCGGAAAGGGAGGTTCACCTCATCAAGGGCATGATGAGATTCGTAAATAAGTTCGAAAGAATCTATCCGCACGCTTTCCATCGTGAGCTCCAGATGGAGAGGATCTCCCTCACTAACTGCTCGATCAAAAATCTCCAAGGAGACCACTGAATCGAGTGAAGTAGTGGAATCGGCGACACAAAATTTCATCCATAAGGGTGATCAACGTGGGGAGGGCTCTGTCTCAAAGCCCGATTCTACGCCTAGCGACAAAGGTGAAGTGGTTGCTGCTAAAGCTTTGAGTGGATCCACCAGTGGTCGGAATAGAAAGAAGGGCAAGTCCGCAAGGAACCATCGTCTCCTGAGAGAGCAAATACCGCCCCGCAAATCTTCAAGGCGAAGATTGAAGATTTTTTACACAAATTCTAAAAATTTCTTTTTTTTTAATCCTCACCTTGATTTTTTCAATTCACGCCCTACAAGTTTTTTAGCCACACATTGATTTTTTTTTATACCAAGCCTTGTTTATCTATTTTTTTAAAAAAAATATTAAAAAAAAAAAAATTCTTCAAGACATAGATTTTTTTGAAATTTTTTTTTTAAGGCAAATATAACCAAATTTATTTTTTTTTTTTTTTTTTTTTTTTTTGGCGTAAATTTTTTTTAAATTTATCATTTTAAAGCGTAGATATATTAAAATTGATTTTACAATTTAAAAAATTTACGCCTAGAAAAAAAATTTTTTTTTTAATTTTTTTGATATAAAATAATTTTAAAATATCCAGGCCTTGAAAAGATAATTTCATATCAAATTGCAATAATATTCACTTTATTTAAACAAATTAAATTGATCTTAAAAATATACAATTTCTCAATTTACAAAAATAAAAAACGTCAGAAAATAATTAATATATAAAATATAAAGGCATATAATTTAGGTCAATGTTGGTTTCCATCAAGTCCGTGGAGGTAAAAAGAAATCTTTGCGTAATGTTGAACTCATTATGGGTAACATATATTCATTTTCATCACGTCTTTTGGCCACATCCGCGTTCACATTTGTTAAAATGTCCAACATGTGTTTGCTAAAAAAACGGAAAGAAAAAAAAAACATAATTTTTATAAAAAACAGTCGGTTTCCGAACTGAAAGTATTAACTAATTTTTAATTTTATAATAAAGGGAAATTTTTTATGGTAGTAAAAAATTGCACATTCTTGTAAGTTGTGGAACAGATATAAAGTATATATTGAGCAGATTTTAATATACTCAGATTATTGATCTCCAAAACTTCAAAAAAATTGTACCCACCGTGCACACCATTTAGCGGTTAGATTACACAATGACTCTATAAACCAACTTCCCGTTATTGTGTGGCGTATGGCCTCCGTACCAGGTATGGAAGACATGGCTGTCAACATATCAGCATAGGCATCGGGATGAGGATTTTGTTCCGAATTTGATATGCTCTAGAAAATTACAAAAACATACATTATAATTAGGGATAACACTCTTCCTTCTCCCAGACTTACCGTATCCACGGGAGCTATATTCTTTTGACACGCTTGTATTATTAACAACTTTGGTTTCCCTTTCAGCGTTTCGTCGGCCATTATTGCCTTAATGTAATTTATACTAACCGGTACACTATTACAACCATAGACCACACCTTCCATGCCATGTGTTAGTATACAGACAATTAAGGAATCTCGTATAAGGGATCTCTTTACCGTATCACGTATGGTGTTTAACATTTCATCATGGGTTAGATTATTGCACACCACCGGTGTATAGCCAAATGATGAAAAAAGCTCTTGCAGTTTATCACGATCAACATCCGTTCCGGCACGATGTTTTCTAAAGGGGATTTTGGGCAGAAGATCCTAAAAATGAAAAAAAACTCATTATTTTTTTCGAAAATTTAAAAAATGAAGACAGAAATTTTACCTTCACTTCCGGATTGGTATCCCGATAGAATTCACTTTGATTGATAATCAAAACAAATCCAGCCCGGTTTTTACGTATGACATAACGTTCGGTATGATCAAATTCGGCATGAATGTCCGCCGTTACAGCATCACCACCACCATTTGCCTGTGGCAAAACTGCTTGTTGTGGTTGTTGTTCTGCCGAAATCATATCAAGCGAATCCATTACAGCACCCGAATCCTGATTAGAATCAGTATCTTGGCGACCACCATTTGACACATTAGCAGTTGTTGTTACAGATGTCGCCACGAATTTCCTGTTTGAATCACTTGCCACCGCATTAGCCATCCTCCGGCCCGTATTATGATTAATTGTCTCAACCAAAATGGTTTTCATCGTTTCCAAATCATTAACTTTAAAATAGCCAATTAAATTCAATACATCTGCTCCCTGCAAACTATCATTGCCAATGGCAATGACATCACGTGTTATCCAAAACAATAGAAACACCTCCAAATAGCTATAATCGTAGAAACGTAAACTTTGTGCTTCGTGTCGTAAATACATTTCATTGATTTTCATTACCATTCGACCGGCCTGGGCAATGGACAGACGTTCGCAAATCTTATAGAGGGCCTTTAGCAACGGATGTATGTGTACACTTATTTCGGGTAAATGTGGCAGATAGATATCACGCAGTTCCTTCCAAACGAACCCTAATTTTCGTAATACCTTTTTTGCTCGAATAATTGCCAGCGCCTCAATAATGCTCATTTGCCAGGTATGTGTATTAATAGTGGCATATTTACGTAGTATATCACTGTTGGCCACCTCCCGCCCATTACCTCTCGGTGGATTTTGTTGGAGTACAATCAGTTTTTGTAGGATATATTCGGAAGTGGTTTTTTCCCGACCATAAAGCAGAAATCCCAATGATACCTTGTGGGGGAAACAAAAACAGTAACAATGTTTGAATTAGTCATGATCAGATTGGAACGACGGGGGGAGTGGCTTACTTACCAATTCATAGAAACACAAATCACGCTCCACATATTGCAGATCCTCAATGTCTATGTCATTGATGCGATCCATTAAGTTTCGACGATGATAGGCCATTCTGAAAATGCCTCGTGTTTCACGGGGAATCACCACAAACCACTAAAGAAATGCAACAAACAATCAACAGCCTTTCTCCTCACACCAAAAATACAAAATAAACACAATGGTATATCAATCAGCTGTTTGGGCAGGCCATCATCAAAACGTTCAATTTCTCGTATTCATTCCCTATAAATGAACTAGTTCATTGATGTTCCATCATTTCCATTATGGGAATGTGATCTGGGGGCGTTTGAATCACAACAATGATATATCAATCAGCTGTTAAGGCAGACCATAACCAAAATCGTTCGATTTGTCATATTCATTTCTAAAATGAACCAGTTTATTGTCTGGGAAGGGTATTTAAACGATATTGTATGCTAAAACGGCCTATGCGCGTTTAGACTGCTAAATCCACTCAATTTCAAATGTCAACACCATAACGTATATGACAAATAGCAGTACATTTACATTGTACTGGATTTATATGAACAATTCTATTACATAAACGTCATAGAGGATGTTGAACCGACAAATATGGAGATATGCAATCGAGTAAAATTCGTTGCCGAAACGAATTTTAAAACTTACTTAAAGGCGCGTATATCGTTTTAATTGCTAAATTCAGCTAGAATTACCTCGATTTACCATACAAAATTAAATCCACTCAATGTCTTGATTTGCTCTAAATCATATGCTAAATCGACATTATTTCAAATTGTGTTCCAAAAAATAATCGTTTCTCCTTAAAGTATGCTTGAGAATTAGTTAATATTCAAAATAAAAATTCGGGTTAAAAACTTCAAAATACTGATAATGGTGTCCTACTCTTATATGGAGGCTAAAAATATGGGCCTTCAAGAATCATTTATAGTAAATATCAGCCGCATCGTAGCGAAATTGCTGCCAAAGTCTTTAAAATATCGAAAATGTAATGGTGCGGTTATATAAGAGCTACATCAAAACGTAAACCGATATAGGCAATTTTTGGTAGGAAGATTTGACACACAACGAGAACCTGATTCGGTTTAAAAATGCACCCAAAAAATCCATACTTCAAACAATATTGATCATTTTTTGTAGGGAGATTTTTTATTAAAAATAATATTCAAAATATAAATTACAACTAATTTGGTTGAAACTCCAGCTCAAACTCCCCGAAAATATCGAAATTTGGGATAATATGGGGGCTACCCTACAAAATGGACCAATATTGATCATTTTTGATAATTTTTAAAACAAAGAAACTGCGCTACTAATTCAAACGTTCAATTTAGTGAATAATTGATTTTAATTTAGTTTTCTCCTTCGGAACGTTTTTAGTGTTTCTAGTTCCATTTAGTGAATAATTGAACACACATTTATTTCGTTGTTTATTATTTCTATGTGACTCCTAGAAAAGAAAAATAAGTAATTTTAAAATAAAACAATGTTAATTTCAAATCCTGACATAATAAATAGCTGCAGGGTTTGTCGTAACCCTAATCAGGACAGTGATTATGAGTGTATGTATGAAATGGCCAAGGAAGATGCAGCAGCCATGACACCACCATTGACGGAATGCGGCAAACTTTATGAGAATTTGTTTACAAAGGTAGGAGGAAGGAAACAAATTTCTAGAAATTATTAATGAAAATTAATGGAAAATTTAATTTTGTAGCTATTACCCGAATCCTACGAATATTATCCACGTTATTTGTGCAACAGTTGTGGCCTACAAATGAAGTTATTTCACAAATTAAAAGAAAAGGCATTGAACACTTTGGAATATTTAAGTAAATTGTATGATGAAGCTGTAATGGCATTGGGTGAGGAGGGAAGGGTGCCGATGCCCCCACCACCATCACAAGAGTTATATGGTGAAGAAGATTTTGTGGATAAAAATCACCAAGGTGAATTGATGGAGGATAACCATCTATTGGTGGTAAAACCACCACAAATAGTAACAGACATGATCCCTAATGCTTTACCAAATGGAGTTTTGATATTACCTAGCGTTACCACAGACCATAATGAGGACAGCAATAGAGTTGCAAACATTGTGTCATCTGCTATTTTGGAAACAGATCAATTAAATGATCAGCCGAGTCATGAAGAAGAAGACACTGTCGTAGATTTAGAAAATTGTGTTAGCTTGGATAAATCCGATTATGTCATGGAAATATATAAAGTTATTGATGATACAACACAAAGTGATAATAATGTACAGGAAATGGAAATGGAGAACACCAACGACCATTATCGTGATGATAACGATGATGATGATCAGACGACGGTGGTTAGTAGCTATGGTGGTGATATGGAAACTGTCACAACAAATTCTTTGGATAATTTTACAATTGAAGAAATCGATTCACGTTTGTCGTCGTGTAATGATGAACAATATTCGTATATTGATTCATATGTGACAAGTGAAAAAAGCTATAATTCCTATGGAACAATAAAAACAACAACAACTGCAAAAAGGCGAAGAACCACCGATAGTCGAAGGACATTATCAATTGGTGAGCCCATACAAATATATAATTGTACAGAGTGTACGGAAATATTTACCGAATTGGAGGATTATAAATATCATAGGTGGGTAGAAGGGGAGATGTGGGGAATTTTATTGGAAGTTTTATTTTAAATTTATTTCTTTTTTTATTTCATTTAGTACCTACATACATGCCCAGAGTTTTGCCTGCAAGATGTGTGACACAGTATTGAAATCGGCCCGCAGTTTGGCCTCACACATGAAAAAACACACCGAGACCCCAGCCTTTCAATGTGAAATTTGCCAGCGCACCTTTAACCAAAAAGTCCACTATCAATATCACATGAATCGCCATAATAATATACGCAATTTTAGCTGTGATCAGTGTGATAAAACTTTTCTGGCCAAGGCTGATTTAAAAGTTCATCAACGTTTGCATACCGGTAAGGATGAACGGGTAATTTTTTTAACAAATTTTTATCATTTAAAATTTGTTTGTTACTTTTAAGGCCATCGTCCCCATGTCTGTGATGTGTGTGGCAATAGCTATATGCTGGCCGAACATTTACGCACCCACATTCTCAAGCATATGGATGTTGAATTTAGATGTGAATTATGTCCGCAAAAATTTGCCAATCCGAAAACGTTGAGACAACATGTCACCACCATACATGCCTCGGAGCCGAGATTTAAATGTGAATTTTGTTCAAAACCATTTCGGCGAAAACATCATTTGCAGGTAAGAAATGTGAACCCATTTTCGTTAGACATATTCACAAAGAACATTTTCTTTTTTTTTAATTTCAGTATCACATGAAATTACACCCGCAAAAAATTTCAACCAATGACGGCGCCCCTGTTAATGGCAAGCGTCATAATAAAATAAATGATAATTATCTGTTGCATGAACAGGATGTTGATAATCCTGATGAAATTGTAACAAACGATTGTGATGATGAGGATGAAAATGATATTATCAAAGATTCCGGTTTTGTGGCCTTAAATGATGAAACCATTTTAATATAATTAAATCGAAATTTAGGAAAAATAATTAATATTATTAGTCCCAATTTAGATTAGGCGAGTTTACTTGCGGCAAGTCTTTTTTGAAGGAGAGAGGGGCAAGGGAAATAGAAATGGAAAAAAATTGCTCGTACCGACAATTTTCTGGCAATTCGTTTTGTATATTTCGTATTTTTTGACATTTTATATTTATTTAAATGTGAAAAAACTGTTTGAAACAAATAAAAAAAAAAATTTTTTTGAAACCGAATTGCCTTGTATAGACGCATGAAGCAAGTTCAAAAGAGAACGATAAGAATTGCCGCAAGTAAGCTCGCCTAATCTAAATCAAGACTTACATTACTTATTTTTAAAAGTATGAGGAATCTCATTTTTTCGATATTCTTCTCGAAATATATGTATATTTTTTTTTGTATGAATCGTATGAAGTACATATTATATATGTATTGATATTTAGTTATAATGTAATTTTAGTATTTTTTTTATTTTTAAACAAAAATTAAAAAATGAACAAATTTTCAAATAAAAAATCGCAAATTTTAAAACAAAAACCCTGTACCACCGGCGCGGTCGTTCCAATGGAGAGGAGACCATTCCTTTATAAAAAAAACATTCCTTTATAAAAAATATCCTACCAAAGGTGTGGAATTTTAAAAAGTATTTTTAAACGTCCTACCGAAGGCATGTACTTACTTAGCTGGCTTGTGACAGAACTTTAGTTCCATAAGCCGAGCTTAAAACATTCACCTTGTCTGAATCCTTGCTCGGTATTAATGATTGAATGATTTTGGATTTTTTTTTTCAAATATTTTTTAAATGTCTAGTAATAGATCTATCAGGATTAAAAAAATGGAATTAAATAATACATTTTTTGATCCCCTCTTCCCATCGAATGAAATTCCACCAAACTTCTTCTTTTTTATATTAATTTGTTAATTCAAAAAAAAAATGTTTAATTGATTTTGTTTTAATTTTATATTTCCTTGTTTTGTTGTTTTTGCTTTTTTGTTAATAATAGGTTTTGTTGTTGTTACTGTATAATTTAATAATTATTAAATACTAAATATTTATATTTTGTTGTAGTTGTTGTTTGGATCTTTAATTTTATTTTTAATTTTTTTTTTTTTTTTTTTTAAGCACTTGTATAACAGAAAAATTGTATTTTTTATTTAAATATTTTTTGTTTATTTTTTTCATAAGCTGTACTTATATATAAAAAGAAATTAACATTTAAACAAAAAATCAGGCAACAAAAATTAAAATTAAAAATCGTACACTGGAGAGAGAGAGAGATTGTGTGGATGGGAAGGGATCTTCTTCACCTAACCTCCAAAACCAAATAAAAAATTATTTTTAAGGTATTAGTTAAAATATTGGGAAGTGAAAAAATATGACACAAAAAATACAAGGCATTCGTTTTTCAATATTTCCTTTTTTAATTTTTATAAGAAAATACTTTTTCCAAAATTAAATTTTTGTGTTCCTTGCTTGAAGAGAGGATATATAGACAGTGGAAATATCCTTTCTATGTGTCTGATTGTGTGTTTGTAAATATATAGATAGGGCGGTTAGATTTACTGGTGGAATTGGTTTTGTTTTTTTTTTTAATTTTTTATTTTTAGAAAGCTTAGTGCTATAAATCCAGGGCGATATTTAATTTCCTTTTTTACAAAACTTATCTATTTTTTTCATTTTGAACCAACAAATTGAGCATATAGACATCTAGGTTTATAAACTAAAAACAATGTTTAAATATTTTAATGGCATTTATATTTAGATTTGATTTCACAAAAAATGCGCTAAGGAAAAAAGTAGGCCTTATAAAAAAAAAAATTGTCGAGAATTGTAATATATATATATATATATACATATTTTTAATTCGAATAAAAAAACTATAGATTTTTATTTCAAAATATATATTTTTTAATTTTAAAATATTTCCATTATTTAAAAAAAAAAAAAAACAAGTGAAAAAGCATTAAGTTCGGCCGGGCCGAACTTTGGATACCCTCCACCATAGATACACTGACAGGTACTTGAAATGAAAATATAGGGAATATACCATATACAAATTTCAGCAATTTTTAATGAAAACCCCAAAGCGTGGACTGATACTAATACCGCATGGTAGAATATACAATCCTCGAATTACTTCAATTTAGATTACAAAGTTCGATTACATAGTGTAGGAATTAGCGCATATTTGGGTTATAGTTATATGTGGGCTATACCCAATATTTTTGTTTTGTGTCTCAATTCTTTCCTTCAGGAGGTATAATTATATCGTATAATATTATTTTATCGTATGTTTCGAGTTTTTTAATGAATGATTACAACCGATGGCTTAATCGTTTTAGAATTCCATAATTTGTAGGATAAAACTGACTATTTCGAGTAACGATTATCCCCTAAACTATGGTAGAATACGCCTATATGGGGACAACACCTACACACGGAACTAATCAGTTAACTATTTTAATATAAAAGGGGGTTATATGGGAACTACCTTAAAAGGGGGTGAAAGAACACATTGTACCAAATTTCAGCGAATTCGTTTTAAAAACGCGCTTAAACAACCCAAAATACCGTAAATTGGGGGGTACCGTTATATGGGGGCTAACAGAAAATGTGGACCCATATTAATAATTTGTAGTGAGGACATTTAGTACCCAAAAAGAACCCAATGTACCAAATTTCAGCGAAATCGGATGAAAAATGCGCTCAGAGACCCCAAAATATCGAAAATTGGGGGGTACCGCTATATGGGGGCTACCCGAAACAATGGATCTATATATATATACTTTTTAGTGGAGACATTTGGTACCCAAAAATAATCCATTGTACCAAATTTCAGCGAATTTGGTTTAAAAACGCGCTTAAACCCCCCAAAACACGGTAAATTGGGAGAAACCGTTATATGGGGGCTACCGGAAAAAGTGAACCGATATTAATAATTTGTAGTGAGGACATTTGGTAACCAAAAATAACCCAATGTACAAAATTTCAGCGAATTCGGTTGAAAAACGCACCAAGAACCACAAAATATCGAAAATTGGTTGGTACCCTTTTATGGAGGCTATGCCTAAACGTTGACCGATATAGCCCATCTTCGAACATGACCTGCCTGCAGACAAAATACGGTTCTGTGCAAAATTTTTGGCGGTCCATCTCAATTCGTTTAGAGGCTAGAGTGATTACAACAGACGGACATGCTTTATAGGGTCGGCAATGATTTAAAGAATATTGTTATCGATTATATTTTTCCATGGGAAATTTGTTATCGATAACATTTGTTCATATAAAAAATTGTTATCGATAAAATTTTGTCCTAGAACATTTTTTATCGATAACTTTTCTTTATATAAAAGTTATTACCGACTGTTTTTTTTCTTTAAGAAAAAGTGTTATCGATAACATTTCTTTATAGAAAAGTTTTTTTGGAAAGATATTCTTTATAGATATAGTTGTAATCGATAACATTTATCGATAGAAAAGTTATTACCGACAGATGTTTTTTATAAAAAAGTTGTTTTATCGATAATTGTAATCGACAAAGTTATAATAAGAACAATTATTATCGATGAGTTTATGCTATAGAACATTTGTGATCATGAAAGAAAACGTGTTATCGATAAATTTTCCTAATGAAAAAGTTATTATCGATAACTTTTTTAATGAAAACGCTATTATAGATAGCTTTTCCTAATGAAAAAAATTATTACCGATAAATGTTTTTCTGAATAAAAAGTTATTATCGGTAACATTTCTTCATGAACAATTTTTTATCGATAACTTTTCTCAATGAAAAAGAAGTTATCGATAAATTTTTCTAATGTAGAAGTAGTTATTGATAAATTTTCCTAATGAAAAAGTTATTATCGATAACTTTTTTAATGAAAACGCTATTATAGATAGCTTTTCCTAATGAAAAAATTATTACCGATAAATGTTTTTCTGAATGAAAAAGTTATTATCGATAACTTTTCTTAATGAAAAACTTGTTATCGATAAATTTTCCTAATGTAAAAGTAGTTATCGATAAATTTTCCTAATGTAAAAGTAGTTATCGATAAATGTTCCTAATGAAAATGTTATTATCGATAACTTTTCCTAATGAAAAAGTTATTATCGATAAATGTTTTCATGAAAAAGTTATTATCGATCACTTTCCCTAAAGAAAAATTATTATCGATAAATGTTTTCATGAAAAAGTTATTATCGATAACTTTTCTTCATGAAAAAGTTATTATCGATAACTTTTCTTCATGAAAAAGTTATTATCGATAACTTTTCTTCATGAAAAAGTTATTATCGATAACTTTTCTTAATGGAAAAGCAATTATCGATAATTTTATATAATGAAATAGTTATTATCGATAACTTTTCCTAATGAAAAAGTTATTATCGATAACGTTACTTCATTAAAAAGTTATTATCGATAACTTTTCTTAATGAAAAAGTTATTATCGATAATTTTTCTTAATGAAAAAGTTTTTATCGGTAACGATAACTTTTCATAATGATAAATCGATAACTTTTCTTAATGAAAACGCTATTATCGATAACTTTTCGTAATGAAAAAGTTATTATCGATAACTTTTCTTAATGAAAAAGTTTGGTAACTCATCGATAAGTTACCAACGGTGGAGGGTATAAAAATTTAAATGTAATTTTAATTGTTAATTTAAACACCTGATTATTTTTTTAAATAACAAAATTTATTGTTTTTTTTTTTATTAATTCAATGGAAATATATTTCAATGAGTTTGGTTTTTTATTATATTAAATTAATAAAAATGTGTGTGTTTTTTATTTTGTGTGTGTTTGAAACAAAACAATAAAGAAATAAAAAATCTTAAAACATGGATTTTTGTTTTTTTTTCGTTTATTTTTAATAATTTATTAATGTCTTTTGTTTATTGATTTTTTTTATTCCCAAAAAAGGATAACCTGTCCAAAAAATTTAATATTTTTCTGTTGTTGTTATTGTGAATGAAGAAAAAAGAAAGTCGTTCGGCCTTCTTCTTCGTTTCTTAAGCGCGGCAACGTTTGTAGGGGAATAGATAATACTTGTTGTTGTTGTTGCTTATATAAAAATTTGTTTTTGTAAGGGAATATAATATCATGAATAGGGGATTTTTTTTTTGTTTGAATTTCCTTTTTTGATTAATTTCCTTGTTTGTTGTGTTGTTGTAATAGTAATAAAAATAATATTAAAAATAAAATACAAATAATTATAAGTAATATCATTTAAAATTAGAGAGTAGTAAATAAACATATATATTGGATAGTAGTTTTTGTTGGTTTGTTTGTGTGGTAGTAGTAGTATAAAAAAAACAGAGTTAAATAAATATATAAGTATATGCGATGCGACAAAAATTATTTTTAATATTAGGAAACAAAAAAAAGTCCTGTTTTTGTTTTGTTTTTCGTTTAATAAAAAATATTTATAATAAGAAATACAGAGTAAGGAAAGGGGGCAGAGAGAGATAGATAGAGGAGTATGGGGAATTTTTTTAAAGTTATTATTAATGGCAATGGAAAATAGCGTTAGATTATTTTTTATTTTAGAATTTATATAACAGGGAATTAAAAAAGAAAACAAAAAAACAGACAAACTAATTTCTTTTAATCGAATTTATATATAACGAGTTGTTTTTCTATATCTCTTTCATTATCACAAATCTCATGGGTGTTAATTTACGTAAAAAATTGAAAAAAAAGAAAAAAGTAAGGTTAGGTTTAAAAAAAAAATATGGGTTATTGGGGCTGTATTACAAATTTTGTTACAAAAGCAGAGAGAGAGTGAGGAATATAAAATCTTGTGTCTTTAGGTTTCATTATTTATAAAAGGGGAAGAAGATTTGAATTTGTTCCTTTTTTCATTTCTTGTTGCTAGTCATTGTCGTTTTTTTCATATTTTTTTGAGTTTTGTTTTAAACGCAAAATTGTTGTTAAATATATATGTGTGTGTTTGTGTGAGTGTTAATTGAAATTTTGTTTTTAAGTGCATTTTCTAACGGCACTGTTAATTTTCTCTTTTTGTTTTTCATTACTGATTTGTTTTTATATTTATATATGACATTTAAAGTTAATTATATAACTACTACTAGAGGCTGGTTTGCTATCAATTAATCTTCATTTGTTGTTGTTGTTTTCTTTTTTTTTTTCAATTTTTTTTCATTAATATTTAAAATATTTTCTGTTTTTTATTTTAGAGAGTTATAGTAGAGAGTATTTCTTCTTGTAATCTTTTTTTGATGCTTCATCATCTTCTCCTATCTTCTTCTTCATCATCATGATCATCATCATCATCTTGCTCGAGAAAGAGACAGCGTAGTTTTTTCTTCAATTTCCTCTCTCCCTCATATCCCTTAACGTTTGCCCGGTGGCTTAACCGTACACGACAGCATCTCTTCTTTGGCCAATTTGGTGCGAAAATCAGCCATTAGATCCCTACAGCTGGTTGCCATCTCGGCCAATTGTGTAAAATATGCCTCACCCTCTTTACAATACGAATCCTGATCGTAATCCACGTAATTGGTTAGATTATACAGGCGCATTGATTCGGGTAGAAATTGTGAGAGGAAATCGTTAATAGCACGATGTTGATCGACAACCATTTCTTCGGTTTGTTGTAAATCGGATATAGCAGCATGCTGATCCAATAGTTCATCAGACATATCGTGTTCCTGGAGGAAAGAAAAAGTAGAAGAAATTTTAAATTTTAAAATCCAATTCGATAAATATTTTTCTCGATTATAAATAACAATTATGATTTGTAAGAGAAATAAAAAAAGAAATTTATCGATAACAAGTTTTTTTAAAACAACTTTTTCACAAATTTTAAAATACAATTCGATAAATGTTTTTTTCGATTATAAATAACAATTATGATTTGTAAAAAATTAAAAAAAAACGAAAAATTATCGAATACAAGTTTTTTTTAAAAGAAAAATTATTTTGCAACACTACTTTTTCACAAAGAAAAGTTATCGACAACATCGTTTTCATAAATTTTAAATTTTAAAATTCAATTTATTAAATGTTTTTTCGATTATAAAAATAACAAATATGATTTTTTTTAAAGAAAAATTATTTTACAACACAATATTCTTAAGGAAAACATATCCCAATATGTTATCGATAACAATTTTTTTTAAAGAAAAATTATTTTACAACACTATTTTAATTGATAGCAAACCATTTTTATTCAGATATCAATTTTCTTTATAAAAACAGTTATCGAAATTTTTCTTTACTATAAAACTGTTATCGACAATTTCTTCGTGAAATCTTTGTTAATATGATATCGATTAAGTTGTTATCGTTTTTTTATTTACTAGAAATGTTCATATTGACAATTTTTCTTTATAGAAAAAACAGTTATCGAAAAATGTTCTTCAAAGAAAATGTGTTATCGATACATTTACTTTAGAGAAAATGTGTTATCGACAGCTTTTCTTTAGCGAAAATTTGTTATCAATACTTTTTCTTTCAAGAATATGCGTTATCGATACATTAACTTTCAAGAAAATGTGTTATCGATAGATTTTCATTAGAAAAAAATATGTTATCGATAACTTTTTTATATAGAAAAGCTAATATCCGTAATTTTCCGTTATATATCGATACATTTTCTTTATAGAACATGTGTTATCGATACATTTTATTTAAATAACATGTGTTATCGATACATTAACTTTCAAGAAAATTTGTTATAGATAGATTTTCTTTACAAAAAATATGTTATCGATAACTTTTTTTATATAGAAAAGCTAATATCCATAATTTTCCTCTATATAAAACTTGTTATCGATAACATTTCCTTACAAAAAATTGTTATCGACAAATGTAATTTATACTAAAATCGCTATCGATAAATTTTCTACCTAGAAAAATCGTTATCGATATCGTTTCTTTAGAGAAAATGAGTTGTCGATAACTTTTCTTCCATAGAAATATCATCAACGGTAATTTTTCTCTATAAAAAGTTGTAATCGATAATTTTTTCCTTCCTTAAAAGCATATATGTAAAATGGATTATCGATAACCTTTTTTATACAGATAGTGTTAACCATAATATTTCTTTACAGAAATATGGTTATCGATAAAATTTTTTAATGAAAATGTATTATCGATAACTTTTTTGTGGAGTGAATTTTTAGGAAAATTTTCTGCTTATTAAAGTTGTTATCGATAAGTGTATCTCGTAGAAAATTTCATTGTCGATAATTTTTCTATATGTAAAAGTTTTAATCGATAAATTTTCATTCCGTAAAAGCCAATATCGTAAACTATACACAATTTGTTATCGATAACTTTGTTATACAGAAAGTGTTATCGATAAAATTTCTTTACAGAAATTTGGTTATCGATACCATTTCTTTAGTGAAAATAACTTTTCTGTATAGCCATTATCGGAAATTTTTCTGCATATTAAAAATTTTATCGATAAATTTATCTATATGTAAAAAGCGGTTACTGATTACTTTTCTTTGGGAAAGAGTAATTATCGATAACTTTTCTTGATAGTAAAAGTATTATCGATAACGTTTCTTTAGGAAAAATTTATTATCGATAACTTTTCATTAGAAAAAAAATAATTATTTATGTTAATTATCGATAGCTTTTCTTTAGAAAAAAATTGTTATCGCTCTCTTTCCTTGATAATTGTTATCGATAACATTTCTTGATAGAAAAAGTTGTTATCGATATTCTTTCTTTCGGAAATTTTTTTTCTTGATAAAAGATTTATTATCGATAACATTTCTTAAGGAAAATATTATTATCGGTAACCTTTCTTTAAGAAAATGATAATATCGATAATTTTTCTTTATAGAAAATTTAATATCGATATATTTTCTTTAAAAAAAATTATTATCGATAACTTTTCTTTACGAAAAATTTGTTATCGATAACTTCCATTAATGAAAAAATAATTATCGATAAATTTTCTTTAGGAAAAAGTTATTATCGATAAAATTTCTTAAAGAAAAAATAATTATCGATAACTTTTCTTTATGAAAAAGTTATTATCTATAAATTTTCTTTCTTTTCTTCTTTATTATCGATAACATTTTCTTATAAAAAAATGTTATCGATAATTTTTCTTTAAGGGGAACTTTGTTATAGCGGTTATTAACATTTCAAAATCAATACTCACGCTCAACGAACGCAACAATGCCAAATCATTTGCCGACATTTGTCCATTCTTATTGTTATTATTGTTATTGTGATTTGTTGTGTGATTATTATGTCGCATTGGCTTCTGTTGAACATGTTGAATATTGTTGGTTTCCTCGTCCTCTTCGTACATCAGCTGTTCGGCATCCTCTTCGCGCAATACATCGGGCAACTCCTTCACAACTAATTCCTTAACACGATCCGCATAACGTAATGTGTTTAGGGTATGTTCACATGAACTTAAACCCGGCGATATCATGGCAATCATACAGGTCTTACTCTTCTCCCCGATAAAGGAATCACGCAATACTTGTGTTAGTTTCGAGACACGGAACGGTAAATGAGCCGATTGTTTGCCCAACGCACGTATACACTCTTTTAAAGCCAATAGGGATTTGTTGATTTCAGCACCTTCCATACGGGTTTGACGATTGGCGGACGATGTGTCAGCACCGCGTTCATTGCCAGCCAAATCGATGAATGAGAATTTGCCGTGGATTTTTGTTGAGCCCGGTGGACGTAGGACAATTTGGAATACTGCATGTGAACGGGATGAGTTGGCATTGGCTGAGGTCTGGCCGGAGGTGCGAGCATTGTTGCCGTGCTGAATTAATTTGAGCACTTCTTCAACACTGTCGACTACCTTCTCGGTGAGACCGACGACTTGGACCTGTTGTTTGCCATCTTCTAGTACGCGAAGTTTTTGTTTATCGGAAAGTAAATCAAAAACCTGGAAAATGAGAAGAAAAGGATGGGTGTTATTGGGGTGAGATTAATGGATGAAAATGATAAAAAGCAGACTTACTTTGCCACTATAGATTTCAAAGAAACTGGCCGAAACAACTAGATTCAAATGACGATACCGTGGTCCATTGAGATAATTGAAAACGTCCTTAGCTGCCATTGCGTATATACCATTTTTACAATCCTGAATTTTGCCATTGAATTCGCCACCCATGGTGTGTGTTTTACCCGAACCGGTTTGGCCATAGGCAAAACATGTGGCCATGCCACCTTCGAATATGGTTTGAACCAATGGTTTGGCGGTGTATCTGTTTGGGGGGAAAATAAAAGGGAAATAAGTTAATAACAATTAATTTATTGAATATTATTTAACAAAGGTTTGGGGTTCAAATTCAACCTAAAAAAAAACAAAAATAATTATTTTTTTTATTTAAATACAATATGTTTGAAATCATTTACACATCCGCCTATTGTACTGTTCGAAAATTTAAATACTTTTAAAAAATCCATTAAATTTAAATAGAAATGATTTATATACAAAATGTAAACATTGATTAAATTAAACAAACACACCTCAGTATAAACAAAACAGAAAAACAGACTATTTTTTGTTTTGTAAACAATAGTCATAGAATTTTCAAAACGACAAACAAAATTTCAAAAGAAAAAAAATCAAATTTCACTGATAAAATACTCCATTCATAATGACGATTTTAGGCTACGGCCAAGCCAGCCATACCCCCAAATCAAATTTTCAGAAAAAAAAAAAACAAATCGGTCTTTAATTTTTCAACTCAGTTGCCAAAGTTTGAAATACATCGACAACAACAAATTCAATGTCAAATGTTTTGGTTGAATGCAATACTACTAAAAGTCTTTACCACCATCATCAAACAGAAACAACAACAAAGATGATTAGATGCCACACACTCCACCACTCCACAACATGAATGAGTTTGCAAAACCAAAAACAAAACAAAAAAATCCAAAACTTTTTAGTTTTGTGGTGCCAAAAAGGAAATGACCCACAATTATGGCCAACATTTTTTTTGGTTTTAAAAGATAATTACTACTTTAAGTTGCAATAAAAAAAGAGAGTTCGTGAAAACAAATATAGGAAAAAAATCAATTTTTTTAAAGGTCAGATTAGGAAAGAAAATTAAAAAAAAAAATCTGTATATGTAGAAGGCAGCTTTCCCATAAAGAAAAATTATCGATATCAACTTTTTCACGAAGAAAAGTTATCGGTAACAACCTTTTCACAATGGAAAGATATCGACCACAACTTTTTCACAAAGAAATGTTATCGATAACAAATTTTTACGAAAGAGAAGTTATCGATAACAACTAATTCACAAAGAAACGTTATCGGAAACATCTTTTCTACAAAGAAAAGTTATCGATAACAACTACTTCATAAAGAAATGTTATCGATAACTGCATTTTCAAAGAGAAAATTTATCTATAACAACAATTTCACAAAGAAATGTTATCGATAACAACTTTCCACAATGAAAAGTTATCGATAACAACTTTTCTATATAGAAAAACTAACGATAACAACTTTTCTATATAGAAATGCGATCGATAACAACCATCTCACAGAGAAAATTTAGAGATAATAAAATTTTAACAAAGAAATATTTAAGATAAAAATTATCGATAACAAATTTTCCATAGAGAAAAGTTATCGATAACAATTTTTAATAGAGAAAAGTTTTCGATAAATTCATTTTTAAGTATTGAATTTGTCGATAACAACTTTTTTATGTAGAAAATTTATCGATAACCAAACTTTCAGGAAGAAAATTTATCGATAACCAAATTTTCAGGAGGAAAATTTATCGATAACCAAATTTTCAGGAAGACAATTTATCGATAACCAAATTTTCAGGAAGAAAATTTATCGATAAGAACATTTTAATAGAGAAAAGTTATCGATAATTACTTTTTTCATAGAAAAATGTTATGGATAACAAATTTCCTATAAAGAAAAGTGGACGATGACAAGATTACCATACAGAAGATATTTAAATTATAAAATAATAGTTATCGATAATTACATTTTTCAAAAAGAAAAAGTATTTTATCACATTTTTCAAAAAGAAAAAATTTCTATTGCACATTTTCCATAGAGAAACGTTTTCGATAACAACTTTTCCATATGAAAAATTTCTCGATAACTACAGTTTCAAGTATTAAATTTATCGATAACAATTTTTTTATGTAGAATAGTTATCGATAACCAGATTTTCAGGGAGAAAATTTATCGATAATTACTTTTCCATAGAGAAATGTTATCGATAATTACTTTTTCATAGAGAAATGTTATCGATAATTACTTTTTCATAGACAAAAATGTTCGATAACAAATTGTTCATAAAGAAAAGTGGACGATAACAAACAAGATTACCATACAGAAAATAAATTATTATTATAAAATAAAATGTATCGATAATTACATTTTCAAGGTGAAAATTTATGGATAAGAAAATTTTAATGGAGAAACGTTATCGATAATTATTTGTTCATAGAGAAAAGTTGTCAACAATAAATTTTCGAGTTTTATGCCTTTTTTGGGGCGAAGAAAAATTAATCGATAACAACATTTTCCTGCAGAAAAAATTATCGATAACAATTTGTTTTTGTAAAGAAAATATAACAATAACATAATTTATCGTTAATAAATTTTAATATTCGATTTTTAATTTTATGATATCTCTCTACCGTTCCTTCTCTCTTTCTCACTCTCCATGTTTTTCGCCTTTGCAAGTTTTCATCACTGGCAAAGGTTAATGAATTTTCCACAAGGAAATGAATACAATTACAAAAAAAAAAGAAGACAAGACAAAGGCCAATAACGGAGTTAAGTTTTGAAAAAGACAACAAATATAAATTAATATTACACACACACTCACACACACACCTCTTATGTGAAAAAAATGCAGCAGTCAAAAAAAATTTGCAGATCGTTTTGAATGAATTTGAAAAAAAAATGAATGGATGGGTGGTTGGCTGGTGAGTGAGTGACATTATATAACTTATATATAAAATATTTCGGAACCTGAGACATACATTGAATAATGAATGTTCCAAAGACAGACCAGACCGCCAGTCAGAGAGACAGATATCAAGCAGTTGGTTTTCTGTTACCATCTCCTACAATTATTTCAGTTTCATGCATTCAAAGCAGAGCGGCCAAACCAGCTGTTGGGCCAAAATTTAATAAGCGCCAACAAGACACTTCACCACACTCATCGTTGTCGTCATCATCATCATCCTCCTCTTAAAATCTGCAGCAGAAAAAAATTTTGCTAAATAAAAAGTAAAACCAAGATCTCGGATATGAACAAGATCGCATTGCGGGACTGGGGCGCTTCGTTGCTGTTGTGTGTAGAGCAAAAAGAGCAATAGCCCATCCACCAACAAACAACAAACAGCTGGAGAGAAGTCGATGCCAGCCGAGCAGAGTGAAGTAGTAAGGAGGAAGGGAGGGAGTGAGGTAGGGATGTGTATATTTGTGTGGAGTAGCTGCTACTCTGACTAAGAAGTATAGCCGCCGTTTGCGCCGTTTGAATTTTTGGATGACTAATCTGATTTGAACGAAGTGACGAAGACAATGGACAACAACAAAACCACACAAACACACAGCCCGCCGCCATCCTCTGTTGTTTGAAAAAAATCTCATGGCACTACTACTACTCCAAAACATAAATCTTTAATAGAGAAGACGGAGTGTAGACGACTACGACGACTACAGACTTTGAGTTTAAAAAGAATAAAATCGAAGGTTTTGGATCATCAATGCACACTTCATTGTTGTTGTGGTCGTTGTTGTTGATTTTTTAATTCATACCAAAAAGAAGGTCATCGAATTTGTATTTTCAAATTTTAACGACTATTTTTATTTGTTTTTAATATTAAAAAAAAAGATCAGCTGTTATTAAGACTCTCACTCTCTCTATTTCGCATTCTTCCCATAAAAGGCCATCTAACTATAATAATAATTAATTCATTACCATACGGATTGGAAAGAATTTCTATTAATGTGTTTGATGTTCTTCCTTCTTCTCTTTGTGGGACAATCACAATAAATTACTCGGTTAGCTCATAAGTTATTTTGATATTCCGATTTCTTTCTATAGTTTGTGGGTATGAATGTCTGAATATGGTAGTAGTTGTTATTATTGCTATGTGAAATTCTTTTGTTTATATGAAAGAAATAAAAACAATTTTAACTGACAATGATTATCGTCATCGTGTATCGATTAATGTGTTTACATATAAACGATAAAATGATTTGATTTCTTATTACAAAGAACATTTAAATGTAATGCAATCTGGAATTGGCAAGCAAGATTAAAATATGTTTATATATAATTTCTAATATTTCCAACAAAGAGAAGTCTTCGATAACAAGTTTTATATAAAGACAAAATTTTTCATTAGAATTATCACTTTTTCTTTAGGAAAATTTATCGATAATATATTTTTCATTAAGAAAAAATTTCGATAATAACTTCTTCATTAAGAAAAGTTATCGATAACTACTTTTTCATTAAGAAAAGTTATCGATAACTACTTTTTCATTAAGAAAACGTATCGATAATAACTTTTTCATAAAGAAAAAGTATCGAAAAATACGTTTTCATATGATAATTACTTTTTCATTAAGAAAAGTTATCGATAATAACTTTTTCCTTAAGAAAAGTTATCGATAATAACTATTTAATTATTTAATGTTATAGATAACTGCTTTTTCATTATTAAAATTTATCGATAACTACTTTTACATTAGGAAAATTTATCGATAACTTCTTTTTCATTAAGAAAAGTTATCGATAATAACTTTTTCATTAAAATAAATTATCGATAAAAACTTTTTTCATTAAGAAAATTTACTGATCAATACTTTTTCTTTAAGGAAAGTAATCGATAATAACTTTTTCATAAAAAAATTATCGATAATAGCTTTTTTATTAAGAAAAGTTATCGATAATAACTTTTCTATAAAGGAAAGTTATCGATAATAGCTATTCTATAAAGAAAAGTTAGAACTTTTCTATAAAGAATAAAGTTATCGATAATAATTTTTCTATAAAGAAAATTTATCGATAATAAATTTTTCAGCATTTCTATAAAGAAAAGTTATCGATAATAGCTATTCTATAAAGAAAAGTTATCGGTAACAAATTTTATATAAAGAAAAGTTATCGATAATAACATTTTTATTAAGAACATTTATCGATAATAGCTATTCTATAAAGACAAGTTATCAATAATAACTTTTTCATTAAGAAAATTTATCGATAATAACTTTTCTATAACTTATCGATAACACTTTTTCTTTCATGATCAGAAATGTTCTATAGCATAAACTTAATGATAATAATTTTTCTTATAATAAATTTGTGAATTACAATCGTCGATAACAAATTTTTTTATAAAGAACATCTGTCGGCAATAACTTTTCTATAGATAAAAGTTATCGATTATGACTTTCTATAAAGAATATCTGTCAAAAATAACGTTTCTATAGAGAAAAGTTATCGATTAGAATTTTTCTTTAAAGAAAAACAGTCGATAATAAATTTTATATAAAGTTATCGATAAAAATTTTTTCTTGGAAAAAAATTATCGGTGACAATTTTTTTTTTCAAATTTCCTATGGAAAGATTTTATCGATAACAAAATTTTCTAAGAAAAAATATTATCGATAACAAAATTTCTATGGAAAAATATAATCGATAACAATTTTCTATAAAAAAATTATCGATAAAAGCTATTTTATAATAAAAAACTTATCGATAATAATTTTTATTTTATCGATAAAATTATCGATAACAAAATTTTCTAAAAAAAAATATTATCGATAGCAAATTATGGATGGAAAAATATCATCGATAAAAAGTTTCTATAACGAAAATTTTTATAATAAAAAACATCGATAAAAATTTAATTTTTCTATGAAAAATTGTTATCGATAACAAATTTTTCTATTAAAAGATTTTGAATAATTGTTTTCGATAACAAATTTTCTATTAAAATTTTTTCCAAAATTTTTCTATGAAAAATTTTTATCGATAAAGTTTTTTATGAAAAAAGTTATAATAAACTTATTAAAAAAAATTAACAAATTTTCTACGAAAAAATGTCACTGATAACAATTTTAGTAAAAATATATCGATAACAACCTTTTTATAAAAAAAACTTATCGATCACAATGATTGTCACCACAAATTCGCTCTCTCATTAATTTGACTCTCTTTTCCCCTTTGTTGAGCCTTTTAGTTCTTTTACCTGTATTAAGTGGAAAAACTGATAAATCGATAATAATTCTTCTTTGATGAAAAACTTATCGATATCAATGATTGTCAGCCCAAATACGCTCTCTCATTTATTTTTAGAGCTCCATTGAACCCGGTAGATATACACACAAGGTATATATAAGCGCCTGGCTCACTGCGATCACCTTTCCATTAAAAATTCAAAAAACGGAGAAAAAACAAAGACCATTGGCCGGACCATATGTCAATTGTCATGTCAGTGTCTGAGGAAAACCAGCAACAACAACACAACAAAAATGAAATGAAAACAAAACCGAACCGAACCAAAAAAAGAGAATGCGGTGTTGAATTAACACGCTCACGCAAGGTCGTTGTTGCTGTTATGACTTTTTATTGCAAATATATTGCTGCTGTTGTTTTTGTTGTTGTTGTGGGGGATGAATGGATTTGGATTATCAACAGAGTCAGTCAACATATCATTTGTTAAATTGCCTCTGCTGCTGCTGTTGCAAATCAAAATTGCAGAAAAGTTCGGCCGGCAGGCGATAATTATGAGAATTACCTATGATGGTTTTTATTTACGAGGGGAGAGGGGATGAGGGAGGGGGGTTGGAAATTGATTAGATAGCATACAGATATATCCCCAACAACAATAACAGAATAACCAATAGATCCGCAAAATAAAACGGATAGAAACAAATTTTAGACATGGAACGACGAAGCAGAAAAAATTCGTTAACAACAAATCAAGAAAATCCAGATTTCTATTATTAAAAAAAGAAAGTAATCGGCTAAAAGAAATATAAATTTTAGTTTTTATTATTTCATATTCTTTCAAAACCACCAATGATTCATACAAAAAAATTAAAATCAAATAACAAGTATTCTTACTACAATTTATCGAAATTTCTTTGTCGCGCTGAAATTGTTTGTTGTGATATTTAAGAAATTAAACACAACGATAACAAGAACAACAAAAAATTCAAAATCAATTGATGAATCATTGTCAACATCACCCCTAACACCAGATCGACGACCACCACCATCATATCAACAAATTACGTAGCTCAAATTTTTGATCGTTAAAAATTTGAATTCCTAATCACAATTTTTTTTTGGAAGGGGAATTATGGTGTGTCACACACTTCCTGTTGAGGTTTAGATTTAATTTGAAAAGGTGAAAATCCATTCATTGATAAACTAATTTTCTATGAAATAAAATTATCGATTAAAAAATTTTGGATCTCAGAACACTGAACGGTAATAATTTTTCTAATAGAAAAGTGGTGTGAATAAAAATGTTTCTACAGAGGTAACGAATTGATAATAAATTTTATATATAAGACATCTTTTAAATTTTATCGATAACACATTCCAATAATAAAACTTATCGATAATAATACTTATCTACAGAAAATTTATCGATAACAATTTTTTCTATAGCAAAATATCATCGACAATTACTATTTTTATATAAAAACTGATAACAATTTTCCTAAAGAGACAAGTTATCGATGACATTTTTCTAAAAAGAAAATTTATCGATAGAACTTTTTTATAAAGAAAATTTATCGATAACACTTTTTCTATAAAAAAAATTATCGATAAATTTATCGAGTTTTGTAAATAAATGTTATCGATAACACATCTTCTATACCAAGAACCATTCGATAATACTCTTTCTTATCGAAAATGGGTTCGAAAATAATTTTCCAATAATAAAAAGTTATCGATAATAACATTTATCTACAGAAAAGTTATCGATAACAATTTTTTCTAAAGCAAAATATAATCGATAATTACTATTTTTATATAAAATTTATTTTTTAATAAAATCTTTTTATATATAAAAAAAAGATTATTTATATAAAGAAAATTGATCGATAACATTTTTTCTCTAAGGAAAATTTGTCAATATTTTGTTATCGAAAATTTATCGATAACAAAATATTGATAACTAATTTTCTTCTAGGAAATTTCATCAATAAAAAATTTATTTTTATAAAATTTATCGATAACAAATTTTCTATTTAGAAAAATATTGATAATTAATTTTCTTCTAGGAAAATGTATCGATAACAAAATTTCTATTTAGAAAATTATCGATAACAACGTTTCTATATCATCGATAATTACTTTTTTTGTATTAAATCTGATAATACTATTTTCCTTTTCTACAAAGAAAATGTATCGATAACACTTTTTCTATAGAGAAGTCTTCGATAATTTCATTTCCATTGAGAAAAGTTGACGATAACAAAAAAAAATCGAGAAAAAAAATTTTCGATAATAAATTTTCATAAAGAACAATCATCGATAACAATTTTCTATGAAAAAAGTTATATCCTCTACAGAACAATTATCGATAAGTTATCGATAACACCTTTTTCATAGAAAAACAGTTTTCGATAATTCCACTTCCATTGAGAAATGTTGACGATAACAAAAAAATCGAAAAAAAATCGATAATCAATTATTTATAAAAAACAATTTCTGTAAAAAAGTTATCGATAGCAGCATTTCCATAGAAAAAAAATATTAATAAAAATGTTTTCGATCTTCTGACTTTGTCATCGACGGTCTCTTAACGTAGCATATGACGTCATCATTGGGTATCTTCAGAGGAAATAATAAACCACAAAATGGAAAATACCCTAAGATCTATAAAAGGAACCTTGAAAACCATATCTCTCCCTTTCATTTTCAATTGCCCTCTCGATGAGGGTGTTAATTACAAAATAAATAAAAAATAAAAAAATTGGTAAATATACAGTCGAAATCGATTATAACGACGGGTGAGGGGCCCGGCGGAATTGGTCATTTAAAACCAGTAACAAATAAAGGGAAAACCTCCTTTTTTTAAATCGCTGTAAACGATTTTGCCTATGTATCTTAAACTTAGCTTAGACCCATATAAAATCATACTCACTTATAAACCATGGCATTGTCACAGCGATCATCGAAGGCATAATCAAAACGAAATTTGTGATTTTCCAAAAATTTCGTCAAATCGACTTTGTTGCGCGGCTCGTGTACAATCAGTGTGTCCTTGCGTGGCACCGATATAACATCGATTTCTTTGCGATTGATTTCCTTGCGCGACAGCGGCCTCTTTCGGACACATACCGTAATTTGATGATCTTCGACAGCGGCTCCATCGATAAGAGGATTAAATTCCAATGTCGATTGGTATTCACGTATCATTTGGGCTGTCTCCCAGTTGGGATTGCCGGGATCCTGATTCATTAAAGCATTTTTCTCCTCTTTGATTTCGGCCTGGCGGGCTCGTCGCTTCTCACGATTCTCCTTTAGTCGTTCGACCTCTTTGACGACATAGGAACGGCGAGCGTTGCCGGCGGCCACGGAATTCGAACCGGCACCACCATATGATGAGGTATTGCCAATACTGGAGGTGTTTGTTGTTTGTCCAATACCGCCGCCACCACCACCACCACCGCTACCACTTCCCGAATTGGCTGAGGCAAGACGTGAGGCATTGTTGGTGGTACGCGATCGTACAATACCGGTGGTGGGCGGTTGTATCTGTTGTTGCTGAGGCGGCGGTATATTCTCGACATGTTCGGCCACCGATGCCGATGACAGTATATTGGACGAATTGATTGTGGCCCGATTCGTGCGATGACCAATGGCACCCTGTGTTGCATTGCGGGACAAATTCATAGGTGCTGTGGCAATTTTTTTGGGTTCCGGAGCCGTGTGCACCACCTCCTGTTCGGCCTGTTCCAAGACCTCGGGATTAAGGGCCAATATGGCCTCGAGTTCGACCTCTTTGCCCTTGGTCTCGCCCCGTTCATACCATTCGACTGTGATTGATTTGCCCGATTCATTGATTTTGGAGACAACGGCCGCATGAACACGGCCATCCGTCCGTTTAATATTGACACTTTGGCCAATTGTTATGAATTCCATTGTGGGAGTTGTGGTTGGTTGGTTGGCTGCTGCGCGGCTGGCTGGCTGCTGCTGCTATGACTACTTGTGCTGGTGGCTGACTGGCTGGCTGACAGACTGGCTTAATACTTGTTTGTTGTCTATGGATTTAATTTTTTGGCGTAGGTTCACACAAAAAAACACAACCAGGCAGGCAGGGCAGGCAAGACACGACAAGCACAACCGTCGTCACCCAGAGTAACAGTTGAAGAAATGAAATGAAACAAAAAAACAACAACAATATTTAGTTTAGTTTAATTGCAGTAGCTGACAAAAAAATAGATTTTCTGTCGTCCGTCTGTCGGTCGGTATCGTTCCAAAAAAAATAACGTCAACGTTTGTATGACTTCAATTCAAAATCCACACACAATCACAAACGTGCACTCGTCGGTCGCACATACAACAAAAGCTCACACACACACATATGGGATAGGCAAGGCAATGAAGAACAAGAAGAAAAAAAATACAAGACACGAAAAAAGTGAGGTTTGGTGTCACTGCTGCTGCAAACTCACCGCTTTTTGTTGTTGTAACGAAATCCAACTCTTTTTTTTTTGTGGAACTAATAATTAATTGAAGTTTTAATAAAACTTTGTTTTTTTTGTTGGTTGGCTTTTTTTCACATCTAATGACAAGATAAACAATTTTCTTCTCCCACACTCACTCACTACTAGTTTCGTTTCTTTTCCGCTCTCTCGCCCTTTGTGGTTATTACAATAAAATTTGTTTTTTTATCTTTGCTTGCAATTTAAAAAATCAATTTAATAAAAAATTACTTCAATTTTCTCACTTCACACACTACTTCCTTATTTTTTCTTTCTGTTTTTTGCGATTTTTTTTCAATTTGCTGCTGTCGGTCGCCGTTGCCGCTGGCTTTTGACAGGAGGCACAGTTTCTTTTTATTGTTTCTTTCTTGGTTGCCTTCTGCTCTGCTACTCTGATCAAACAAATTTGTGTGTGGGCATGACGTTTTTTTGTCTTGCAGAAACTTGCTTTTTTCGCAATTTGTAGTTAGTTTAATTAATTTACATTGATTTGTTGCTGTGTTTTTTACTATATATTTTCCGTTGAAATTCTTTTTTTTATAGATTTTTTTGATTACTCACAAAGCTCCTTGCTTGCTTCGTTCTGGCTTAACAAATAGAAAATAACAAAACAGCTGCAGAGCGCTGCGGCACAAGTCTGTCGTCTGTCAAACAAATGTAATTTTATGATGTGCTGTGCTGTGTGTGGTGAGTGAGTGAGCGCGAGTGTGTGTTTGTGTGTGCAAATGTGTGTCGTTATTCTCTGTGTTGCTCAATTTTCGCCTGCAATTCAAATACAACTGACAGCTGAGCAGTAGCAGAAAAGGCAAAAGAAAAACGGGAGGCAAAAAGGCGGCGAATATTGTTTACACAGAGTTGTATTTTTGGCAATGCGTTTGTGCAAAAAAGGTCACAATCAGACAGGGTTTACATGATTCAGTTGATTTTGGGTGGGGGAAATAATTACAAATTATTATAAAAATAAAAAAATTAAAATAAGAAAATACAGCTGACAGCTGAGCGGCCACAGAAGCGAATATTGTTTACACATGGTTGCTTATTTGGGCAATGTGTGTGTAAAAATGTCAAAATCAGACAGGATTTGCATGATTCAGTTGATTTCATGATTAGGGAAATAGTTTAGGGAAATAGTTCAAAAACTCCCATTCATAACTTCATATTTATTTTAGGTATTAAATATTAAAATAATGAACGAATATTCTTTACACAAGGTTATATTATTGGCAATGTGTGTGTGTGTGTGTCAGAAATGTCACAATAAGACAGAGTTTACATGGTAGGAGTATTTTAATTCATTTTCAGTTAATTAATGAGCGATTTCAGGGAAAATAATTAAAAAGGATTAATTTAAAGACAAATTAAAAATTTAAAAATAATAATTTAAAAATAAATTAAAATAAAAAATACAACTGACAGCTGATCAGCCACAGAAGCGAATATGGTTTACACATGGTTGTTTTTGAACAATGTTTGTGCAAAAATCCCACAATAAGACAGTGTTTACATGGTTCTTTTAATTCGTATATGTACAATATGGCGCTTTTAGGTAAACAAATTTAAAAGCAGATTAAAATAAAAATTAAAAAAATAGATAAAAATTAAAAAAAGATATATTAAAATAAAGTTAAAAAATTGATGTTTTTAAGGAAAACAATTTTAAAAGCCCACATTTCCGTTAATTGGTACACATTTAATGGGAAATAAAAATGGAAAAACTCAGCGAATTTTGTTGGGGGTACCGTTATATAGGAGCTATGCCTAAACGTGGACCGATATACCCCATCTTCGAACATGACCTGCCTGCAGACAAAAGACAAACTTATGCAAAATTTCAGTACCCTATCTCAATTCCTTCAGAAGATAGCGTGATTACAACAGACGGACGGACGGACATACATGGCTAGATCGTCTTAGAATTTTACCCTAATCAAGAATATATGTACTTTATAGGGTCGGAAATAAATATTTCGATGAGTTAAACGGCATATACATTAGAACTTTTTACCGGGTTAACCTGCTTTATGAGGATTTATTTGACATATGTGCAAAGGAATTGGCAATTGAAACCCACTGGGTTAACGAAATCCGGTTAAATGTAAACGTACTATTACAAACGGAATGACAAAATTAATATACCCTCCATACTATGGTGGAGGGTATAAAAACTAATTAATTTTTTTAATAATAATTTTTTATGGAATTTCTTTTCTTATTTATTATTAGATCAAATAAAGTTTTTTCGTGTTTTTTCTCATTTTTTAAAGGGTTTAGCCGTGGTTTAGTGATTATTCTATATCTAAAGCTTATTATTGCCTCGTATAAATAAGCTATAAGTGTTTAATTTGTCATCTGTCATGCAACCGAAACCGTTACAATGAGTTATTTCACTTTACTACCAATTTATACAACTCTGTATGCGGCAATATGGAAATTAACCGCAACAGCCATTTTTCGATCTATAGAAGCCTACAAAATAACATCTATCACTCTCTCAAGGAATTTTGGCAGTCAGTCACTCTCTCTCTCGCGCTTTCTTTCATTCTCTTTGCATGCCCTTTGAGAGTGACAATTATGCTGTTTTTTAGTAAAAAAAATGACTAAAATAAAAGAATTAAATAAAAATGGTAGTTAATAAGAAAAAAACAATAGTTAATAAATAAAAATAATATTATTTTTGTTAAATCAACTGTAAATTAAATACATAAAAAGTTAGTTGCCCAAAATAAAAATTAAACAGCTGTTTTTGTGGTATTAAGTTGTTGTTGTGTGGGTGGGGGTGGGGAATGGCAGAATGACAGTTACGTTTTTTAAAGGCCGACAAACAAAAACAGAATAAAAAGGAAAATGTATAAATTTGGGAGGTAACCACCATTGTTGGCTG